CGCTCTTCCCACCAAGGTCCACTGCTCACCTCTGGCTTTGGGGAGGTCCCGAGGACTCAGGGCGCATTCCCCCCTCCATGGTCTGGGGGGGCTGGTGGGCCCCGGAGGCTGGGACAGAGGTAGAGGGGTCTCTGGCCACACTGTGGGCGAGAGATGGCAGGGCTGTCAGCATCCCTGTCACAATCTGGGGATGATCACGGGGTGCTGGCGTGAATACCCCCACACAGAGTGGGGACCACCTGGCCTTAGGGGGACAGATGATGCCGATGCCTTACTCAGGCCTGCTTCATGTCCAGCCACCCCGCAGGTAAGAACCACAGAGGGCCTGCACGCCTGCCCACCCCCGTAGCATCCTGGCTTGCCACCAGCCCCAGCTCCCATGGAAAGCACACAGTCACGGGTCTGGAGCAGCGCCCACCTCTCCAGGCTTGCGGCAGAGACTCCTACCGCAACCCTCCCTCAACAGCTGCAGTGGGGCCCAGCCCACAGCCACTGCAGTTGGTCACCTGTCCGAGGAGCTGGGGGTGGAGCATGTCCCGTGAAGGGTGCCCTGGAGGTCCCCGACGCTGACCAAGGCCTGGCAGGGAGCTGTGTAGGGGGAGAGCCAGGTCTCAGCAGCTGCTGCCTGCAAGCCGGGCAGCTGGCGGGGCGAGGAGGCGGAGGTGGAGGCTCACCTGAGGGCTCTGGCACGGTGCCGCCATCGGCGGCTTCCTGAGGTGCTAAAGGGCCCGAGGGGGCCTGAGACCTGGGAGGCGGACAGGAGCCAGGAGGCAGGGGTCAGCACTCAAGCCTGAGGAGACCCAGGGCCCACAGCTGCCCCCTCCCCAGCCTTGGGGTACCCGAGTCACCCCCACCTGCTCACCCTGCACACACCTGAGCTGCAGGGCATCATGGGCTGGAGGGCTGGCCAGGCTCTGGGACACATTGAAGGGTCCCTGAGGAGTTGGGGGTCCAGAACGTGGTTCTTCTTCCCCCGAGACTCGGGGGCCGCTCAGGGTGTCCGTAGGCACTGGGTCAAAGGCGGCTGTCCAGCCAGGGCCTAGGGCAGAGGCAGGGAGGGGAGGGCAAGCTCATGGCAGTGGATAAGCCCATGGGCACTAGCCACAAGCTGCCCTTCTGCTCACCTGGAGGCTGGGGGCTGGGGCTGCGGTAGAGGGGGAGGCCAGTCCCCCTGCGGGCCGCCTGGTCATGGTCCTCCTCCCCGTTGTCCTCCTCGTCCTCCTCCTCTTCGTCCTCGCTGTCTGTACTGCCAGTGCTCCTGCCAGACAGCACCTCCTCAGCCGGCTGCACGCGCAGACCAGCTGGCCCCCGCCCCAGCCAGGCAGGCCTGTGGGACCCTGCAGGGTGAATCTCATCTGATGACAAGGGGGGCAGGGACAGGAGGGCAGTGGAGGCGAGGGGCCCAGAGAGCCCAGATGGGCAAGGCACACCTGGGTCACACAGCAAGAGCACACAGGGGCCAGCTGAGCATGGCAGGAGGAGCTGGGCAGGGACAGCTTGTGGTCCAGAGCAGACTGACTCTGGGGACACGCTGGCACTTGGCCACGGCAGCCAGGACGTACCAGCCTGTCATTTCCCACGCCCCCGCCCACTGGCCATCACAGTGTGGTCTACCGCACAGGCCTTTCCCTCAGAGCCAGCTCTGAAGGGGAAGTGTGACTGCATTCTCCCCCAACTAGAACTCCAGGAAGGCAGAGACGGCTGACTTCTCCAGTGCCAGAGGGCGCCTGTGCACGTGCGAGACAGCGAGCACCGCACGCTCACTCCCAAAGGAGTGTCACCCGAGCCCTTCTCCAGCTCTCCACCCTGTCAGAACTCTGGGCACGGGTGTATGCTGGGCCTATTTTTCAAACCAAAGGGGGTAGAATTCGAACCCCAGTGGGCCACGTGGGATCCAGATTCCTCTGTGCAGTGCTTAACCACTGCAGTATGGAGCAGCCGAGAGCTGACCCTGTCACTGCCATCTCCTGAGCCCTGAGGACATCTGCACCCATATCCACAGCCCCAAAGGTCCTGGCTATACACAGTGCGGCTCCAAACAGCCTCCAAGCCCACCAGCCAGCGGGAGGGTAAGCAAACCACATGATCTTGAATGCATGTCATTGGCAAAATTATTGATAACTACTAAAAAGTAATACACCCTCATATAGTTAACACACTCACCAACCAAGGAATAGAAAGAAGCTCCCTCCACCTGATAAAAGGCACCTACGAAAGCCCACAGCTAGCGGGACAACTCAACGGCCATGGCCCTCTTTTCCTCTCAAGATCGGAGCATGACACACAAGCCTGCTGTCACTTCTGTCCAGCTCTGTACTGCGGGTCTAGGCATCCAGACTGGGAAAGAAGTAAACTATCTTCATGCTGACAGACACACACAGCACACTAACTACCAGGACGGAGAGAGGAGTTCGGCGAGGTCACGGGGTACAAGAGCAATGCACTACCGTTTCCATGACACCAAAAAATGACTTAAGAAAACTGTATTCACGGGGCCAGCAGGTGGCATGGTGGTTAAGGGTGCTGGCCTCCCACATAGTCAACGGCGGTTTGAGTCCCAGACCTGGCAGCTTTCTTTCTCACTCTGTCCCTCTGTGGTCAAATTTTGATACACACACACACACGTAAAGTTAAATAAAATAGTTCTTTAAAAATCTGTATTCATAATAGCACCAAAAATGATTAGCTACTTAGAAACTGATGTGTAAATCCTGGAACAGCTCCACAGTGCAAAAAAAAAATAAACTGATCAAGAGAAGCCAGAGCCCGCACCAAGTCTGGAGCACAGCAGACACACGCTTAGGGGCCCACGAGCTGGGCAGGCTGGAGCACTGGAGGACGGGGACCGCAGCATAGCCAGATCCCACAGAGGGTGCTCCTCTCAGATGTGTGCATGCTCCTTCATTCGTTGTTTTTTGTTTTTTTTTTTTGAGAGGTTTTTGCTATAGGGCGCGTGCGCTCGCCAGACAGACAGAGACAGACAGAGAGACAGAAAGCACGAAATCCCCCCCCGGGGGGGGGGTGGCCACGCTGCAATCCCTTCTCCTCCATTCTCCTCTCGGGATCTTGGGCACACACATACACACGCGCCCGGTTTGAGTTTAAGCCACCGGGTCTGGGACTCGAACCGCGGTCGACTACGTGGGAGTCCAGCGACATAGCCATTACACTAACTGCTGGTCCCCATTCGTTGTGTTTTTAAGGGAGATTCTTACTGTAGGACGTGTGCGCTCACTGAGGAGACAGGCAGTAAGTGGGAGATCTCCCCAGGGATGGCTGTAACACTATAAACTCTTGTAAAAAGAAATAGGCACAGGGCCAGCAGGTGGCATGGTGGTTAAGGCACTGGAATTCCTGCATGGCCGACCACGGTTCAGGTCCTGAACCTGGCAGCTTGCTCTCTCTCTCTCTCTTTCTCCCTCTCTCTGGCAAAACTCATGTGCAAACATTAATGATAAATAAATAAATACAATAATTTAAAAAGAAGCAGGCGCACATCATGACTGGGTCTGGCAATGGCGTACGTCTGCGCACCTACACTTGCGAGATGCTCACAGCAGCCAACTTTCAAGAGCTCCCACAGGACCCTGCCCTAACGCGCATTAACTCCAGAACCAGCTAGTCATAAAGTGGCGTCTTCTGTAAGACAGCGAGCTAAACCCAAAGACACCAAAGGAAGGAGTGGCTCTCACAATCTAAGTGTTGACCAAAAGAGCTTACATGCAAGAGGAGGTTCTGTATGATGACATGAAATGAAAAAAAAAAAAGGGCAAAACTGATCTGTGGAGTGAGCTATTCTAGGAGGATGGGGCCAGCAGGAACACAGTGGTTACTGGGACGGTCCCCACTTGGGATCCAGTTGTTGACCTACAAGGATGTCAATCTGACTGTACACTGAGGGTTCATACACTCGGCTCTATAAGTGCTACATGTCAACACAAAGTTAAAATACCCTGATCCCCAAATCTGATGTAACAGGGCAAAGGCTCAGACTCAGCCACAGGGGTGCTGCTAAGACTATGCTTCACGGGCTGGGATCACATGGGAGGCCCAGGTTTAATTCCCAGTCCCTCCAGCACAGTGGCACAGGCCTGTGATCTCAGCACCTTAGGAGCCTGAGGTAGAAGGATCACTGGTTTGAGGCTGGCCTGGGCAATACAGCCAAACTGTCTAACAAAGAGCTAAGCTGGGCCAGCCCCATGGCAGTGGTTAAAGGAGATGGGTCCTACATAACTGACCGCACGGTGTGAATCCTGGCCCCACCCCCTGCAAAACACACTGGCCGTGTGCACACGCTCCTGGAAAGAGAGTAAGACGGTATTGTGGCGTGACCTCATTCAGTGGGAGGTGTTTTTGCCTTCTCTGTCTTTGGCAAATACATATACCCTTTGGCAAATTAAAAAATAAAAACAAGTCTGGCCTGAAATGCTGCGGTGAAGGCAGCTGGATACCATATTGCCAACTATGAGTTTGAGTCCCTGACCCAGTGGCTTGAAAAACGGACCAGGCTTGTATGCGTGTGTGCCCAAAATATGGAATAAGGAGAAATGGAGAAGGGACTGAGTAGAGACCATTCCTCATGGGTGAAGGGCTCCTCACCACCCACCACCAATCCCCACTGGCGAGTGCACATACCAACTGGCCAAAAAAATCGTGCTCGTGAATCTTTTTTTTTTTAACAGGGTGCACGTGCCCAACCGAAAAAAAGACAGAGAGAGAGGGAAAAAGAGAACGCGTCCCCCAAGGGGGACGGCCACACCACAGTCCCTTCTCCATCCTCTCAGGACTTTGGGCATACATGACTGGCATGCCTTCCAAGCCGCCAGGTACAGGGCTAAGGCGCACAGCTAGCCATGTGGGACCCGGTGCCTTAACCTCCATGCCACCCGCAAAACTTTTAGAGAGTCTGGCATGTGCTTTTAGTTTCCACTAGAGGACTGAGACAGGAGGAATGCAATAGTGAGACCCCCCCTCTTAACACCTGTTTGCATTTGTAATGGACTTTTGAGAAGGATGTCATCATCTCACTGTGCTGGAATTAGGGGAAAGAGAAGCTGCTGTGAGACGATCTTATTCCCTCTCTGGGAAAATGTGCGTGAGAGTTCACATGGGGGAAAACGGACTCAAGGGGTGGAAGGAGACAGTGAAGGAGGGGAAGGAGAGATTCTAGGCGCACCCGGACCGAGTCCTAGCTAGAAGACTCTATTTTTCCAGCCACACATAAACCACTTTGCTCTTCTTTTACAGCTTAACTCATTTGCCCTGGATTTATTTTTTTTAAAGAGTTATTTATTCAATTTTACTTATCCATTTATTTTAACTTGACCAGAGAGAGGGAGAGTGAAAGAGAAAGCAAGCCACCAGGTCCAGGACTCAAACCATGGCTGTCCATGTGGGAGTCCAGCGCCCTCAACCACCTGCCAGCCCCTGACCTGGATGTCTACCAATTAAAATAGAAGGTACCCTGGGACCAGTGGATGGTGTAATGGTTATGTTGCTGGACTCCCGTGCAGTCGACTGCGATTCAAGTTCCAGACCCAGGAGCTTAAAATGCACGCTGGCTGCGTGTGTGTCCAAAATCCCAAGAGGAGAAGGGACTACTGTGTGGTCGTCCCCCCTGGAGGTGGCTTCTCACTTCCTGTCTGTCTCTGGTAAGTACATAAGCCCTACAGCAAAACCTCTCCTTAGTCTCTTCATATACCTGGGCTTCGGCCTACACACATTTGGAGACACCTCTGTAACTCCACTGTGCAGTGGAGTTTGGAGAAGGGAGGCTGGAGAGGGCTCACCGGACACCGGGGGGCTGGCTTGGGCGGGGCCCCCTTGCCAGCTGGCCGTCCTGCCAGGCGCCATCCTCTCCATCAGACTCTCCCGAGCCCGGGCCTTCCTCCTCGTCGTCCTCGTCATCGTCAAACTGCTGGATGCGGTCCTTGTAGCATATCTCAAGCAGGTTGGCATTGGGCTGTGGGACATGGGCGGGAGATGGCTGCACTGCCCACAGGCCCTGCACACCTCCCCCACCGCAGCCAGGGTCCAGGTGCACTCACGTTCTCGTCGTCGGCATTGAGGGAAAAGGTGATGTTGGCTGTCTTGTCAAACGGTGCGCTAGGAGAGAAGATGGAGGAGTGCAGAGAGGTGGGAGGAAGCAAGGAGATGGAGTCAGGCTCAGGAGGGGCCACATCCTTCTCGCCTCTGCCACTCACTCGCCACAGCTGACCCTCGTTCTCATCCACTGGACATCTGTCAACCCACCTACTCCCTAACACACATCTGTGATCCCAGAACCGACACTCGCAGCGGTCCATGGTCTCGGGGCACTCGCAGAGCTGCCGGGTGCGCATCCCGAGAAGCTGAATGAGGCTACTTGGCCCTGTCTCGACCTCTCTCAGAGGATGGGTGTGGAGGGCACGGGGCTCACTCTGGCACCGGCGGGGGGCAGCCTCCAGGACAGCCGCCTGACACGTCATACCCCGCTTTCTCATTTGTAGGATCTAAGAGGCACTGGGCTGCCGGAAGAGTTGTGAATTGCTTTTACACAGAGACAGAGGGATAGGTCACACCCCCGACAACCTAAGAGAACCTACCTTGATGAAGTGTCTTAAGGACCGAATTACGGTCAGCATGTGCCCCGACCCCCCAGGAGCAAGCTGGGCTGGGCCCTGTGGTGTCTGCAGCCTCAGCATACGCCACAACCACGAGAGGACAGGACTGCACGTGTCCCTGCTAAGCCCCTGCTCTGGCCCCGTACTGGGCTGAGCCCCCAATCTTATCATGTCCTAAGAGCAACAACCATAGGGATAAAAAAACATGTAAAAGGAAGCCAGCAGGTGGTGTGGTGGTTAGGGTGTTGGACTCCCACACAATCTGAGTGGTGCTTGTATGTGTATGCCCCAAATCCAGAGAATGGAGAAGGAATTGCAACGTGGCCATCCCTCGGGGGGTGACTTCTCACTCACTCTGAGGTAAACACATGAGCCTTATGGCAAAAACCTCAAAGAAACCCACAAGTGAGCCCTACCCAGGTGCCAGGTCAGGGTGGTAGTCTGGGGCTTCTGTCTCTAAGGGCAGTGGGTGCTAGCGGAGTGAAGTCCGCAGGTGAGGTGGACAACCGACCCGGTGTGCGGGCAGGCCGGGCTGCACCGTGTCTACTCTCACCTCAAGGTGCTGGCAGCCTGAGGCTCAAATTCTTTTTTTTTTTGGAGAGTTTTTTTTTTTCACTATAGGGCGCTTGCATTTGCCAGATAGAGAGACAGAGAGACAGAAAGCAAGAAATCCCCCCCCAGGGGGGATGGTCACGCCGCAATCCCTTCTCCTCCATTCTCCTCTCGGGATCTTGGGCATGCACGCACACACGCCCGGCATGAGTTTAAGCCACCCGGTCCAGGACGTGAACTGCGGTCAACTACGTGGGAGTCCAGCGAGATAGCTATTATGCTAACTGCTGGTCCCCTGAGGCTCAAATTCTAAGTAATGGGCCAAAGCACAGCTGCCAGAGTTTGTACTAAAGCAGATCCCCCGACTGGATCCCACCAGTCCCGACTCCTGCTCGGCCTTGTCCTGGAAGTGGTGCACCAGGCCCGTCCCTGCCTCCAACACACCCGATAGGACGCAGCGGCCCAGCATGTGTGTGGTACACGCCTCCGCCTGGCCCTGGGAGACAGCCTCATACCGAGGAATCACCCTCACCCTTGAAGAGCAGCACAGACCGCCCTCAGGGTCTGCAGTGCACCGTGAGGCTCGGTGGTGGCCTGCACTCGCTCTCTGCACTGTGCCCCTCTGCTGCTGTGTGCTCGCCCTCCTCCACGTGTCGGGGAGCATCTCCAAAGTTGCCATTTGTCTCACGAATTCATGAAACGTGCTACCACCAAGGACGGAGAAGCAGCGCAGACCTTTCCTAGACACTAGCCCCGTGCAGACTCTGCTCTAAGCACACAGCTGTGCCACTCTGTCCCACCCAGACTGTGCCCCTGGCTCCTCCCTAGGCACAGAGCTCAGAGCTGAGGTCCGCTCCTGTGGCACTGGGGGGCGGCTTGCAATGGGAGCCCTGCAGGACAACATCTTCAGCTGGAGATGAACACACCCACCCCTTTCCCATCCTGGTGCTCTTCGTGAGCTTAGGTTTAGTTTCTTTTTCCTTTTTTTCCTTCCCAAAGGAAGTCATCTGGTGAGGAGGTGGAGCAGCTGGTCACCCGACACCACACACTCAACAGGCAATCCACATCCCACCACAGGCAGGCTCTCCGAGAGGAGCGGGCCTCCCCTCAGGACCCAGTGCAGGCTCTGACCAGCAGAACCAGGGTTGTGCGAGGCCCTCGTGCTCGGCAGAGAAGCAACAAACACGGTCCTTGTGTCTATGTTCAAGATGATCTCTGTCCCCTGTGCTGTGCAGGCAGTCGGGCAGCTGTCCAGGCTCCCGCGGGCTCAGGCACCGACTCCAGTCCCAACCCTCATCTGCCTGTTGCCAACCCCTCTCCGTAGGCTCCTCACGGGCCAACGGTGAGAAGCCTGTCCTGCCCTCTGGTGGTGCTGCCCCTCCACTCTGCGAGTCGTCTCTTCCACTGAGACATCCCACCCTGCACTGTTCAAGTTAAGGTGCTTGCCGTGGCCGGCTGAGCAGGACACACCTCCAGGGAAACTGAGACCAGATCAGGCAGGCTAGTGTGGAATGCTCAGAACTGAGGCCAGGTCAGGATGCGGAGCCGCGTCCTGCTCTGTGGGGCGGCCGGCAGTCACTAAGTACAAGATGGGTCGTGGGGGCAAGAGCCACGTGCAGGCTTGCCCGATATATGCGGCTGTGCCAGGCCCAGGACAGGAGCAGGCCTCACCCATGGTGGACCCACCTGCTGCCCAGGGGACACTCACTTCACACTCTCCTCCTGCTCCCCAAACTCCTCGTCATTGAAGCCAAAGTGGTCGATGAAGGCCGAGGTCATGCGCTGCATCTGGAAGTCCATGAAGGCCTGCAGGGCACGGAGTCAGAGCGAGGGAGCTGGGCAGGGCAGTCCCCGTCCCCCCTGCGCGGCCCCCAGGCCCACCTGCTGCAGCACGGCCTCCTCAGGGAAGTTGAACTCCTTCAGTCGGTCGTCCTCATCGTCACTGGAGGAATGCAGGTGGTGCGTGTTCACCTGAGGGTGGGCGTCGGGGCTGGTGAGGCCCTGCAGGGAGCGGGTGGGCGGGCAGGTGGGCAGGCGGGCAGGCGGGCAGGGGCACCTTACCAGATCCACTGTGTTCCTCTTGTTGGCCTCAGCCAAGGGCCCTGACACAAACGCCTCCCACCGCTGCTGCTGCTCCTCAGGCAGCTCTGCTCAGGAAGACAGGGCGTGGGTGCCCTCGGCCTCCCCAGTCCCACACTGGCCCCGATGCTAACCCCTCCCAGCACCTCCCACCGCTGCTGCTGCTTGTCAGGCAGCTCTGCTCAGGCCGGCAGTGTGAGCCCCCAGCCTCCCCCAGCCCCAGGTCGGCCCAGCCCTCACCCTTCAGTAACTGCCCCAGCTGCTCAGCGTTGGGTCCTTTCTCCACATTCTGCACCAAGGCGTTGGCCACACGTGTCAGGTGACCCATGTAGCCTTTCCGCGGGCCCCCCACAGACCTAGGTAAGAGCAGAGGCTATGGCCAGACACCAGGGCAGTCCAGCCCTCCCCCTGCCGCGGCCTGAAGGCCAGGGTACTCACTGCACACGGTCGTTCTCCTCCCAGGAGGTCAAGATCCGCTCCACCAGGCGGCAGCGCTGCAGTAGCTGTGGAAAGCAGGGCAGGGTTGGCCTAGGGTCTGCACATACTCTGATGCAGAGATCAGCACCCCAGGAAGAGAGTAAAGGTGGGGCTCCGGCTGGGACCCCACTCCTCAGTCTGCCACCTAAGTCTTTGGCTCTCCACAACGAGTATGTTGCACGTGTGCACACGCATGTATGTGCATATACACGTGTGTTGTGTGCACGGCCTCTTGTCCCCCAGCTGCTCACAGGTCGCCCCATCCTGTCTGGGCATTCACTGTCTCCCACACACAGCCCCAGTGCTGTGACGCCTGACACTGCTGTGGGAGCGAGGAGCAGCAGCTTCCAAGAACTGCTCCAGGGGATGGGGGTCCGGCTCACGTGCTTCACGGCAGGGCTGGGGGCGGGCACGTCGGAGCTGCCGTCAGGTGGGGGCCCTGAGCTCAGCATGGCGCTCACGCAGGCTTCCACTTGGGTGTGTAGGAAGTTGTTGAAGACGTAGTGGAAGAAGAGGTCCTAGGGGAACATAGGCTAGCAACAGAGCCCCACCCCTGCCCCCCCCCAAGCCCAGGCCGTTCCATACCAGCATGGTGTTGGGCACGTCCAGTGCCAGCAGCTCCTGCGTCAGTGCTGCATCGTTGGCGCTCAGGGCACTGGCCAGCAGCTTGACCACGTGCAGCCGCGTGTTGCCCAGTGGTGGGGCCAGGCTGCCCCACGTCATCTGCAGTGGCTCCAGCTGCAGATGCAGGGCAGGCTCAGTTCCAGGGACCACCACCCTGCCACCCCTCCCTCCGCATGTCTGTGGTCCCGGGCCCTACCTCGGGTGGCTCCAGCAGGAGCTCATGGAAGCGGCTAAGCCGTGGGCGCAAAGCATGCAGGGTACCCATGCTGGACACCGTGCTCTCCAGGGCCCCCTGGGCCAGGAGCTCCAGCTGCCCATCCACGCTGCTGAAGAAGTTGTTCATGGTCGCAGACTCGGACCTGCTGGGGCAGCCGGGACAAAGTAAGAGCCCAACAGAGCTGTGTGCAGAGCACGAGAGTGGGCAAGGTCACGTGCCCTGGGGCAGGCCAGTGAAAAGGGCAGTCCTGGCTGGGGTGGGATGGGGTGGGAGCCAGGGAGGCGGGGGCGAGGGCAGGTGCAGATGCCCACACACTGAGAGTGGGCCACAGCCTGGTCTGGGCAGGCAGGGCTTAGCCTCGATCTCCTTGCTGTGAAGTGGGACAGGGGATGGTACTGACCACAAGAGGGGACCCAGCCAGCCACCAGCCACCAAGGCGCTGAGGACCAGGTGTGTGGGCCCCGCCACGTCCCTGCAAGGGCAGCCCTACCTCGGCCTCCTGGGCTCCAGCAGCGTCAGCAGCACTTGGACCCCACTGACGACCACGGATGGGCTCGGCGCCCCCTCAAACATGTTGCTCAAGAGCTGCTCAACTGTCTCCTGCCTGGGGCAGCAAGCGGCCAGGCTCAGGGGGCAAGGCCGGGGCCAGCTTCCGGCCGGTCCCCGCCTGGCCGCAGCCCCACCAAACCCACTTCTCCAGGGTGGCCAGCAGCTGGTCGGGCTCCGGGCTGTCCTGCACGTGGCTCGTCTGCTCCCGGCTCAGGCGGATAATGTCGCACAGCGACTGGGCAGCGTTGGAATGTTGCTGGGGAGGGCAGACAGGTGAGGGCCCTGGTCGGGCCACTGGCCCTGCGCAGCCTGGTGCGGGGCACCCGCGAAGGACATGTGGGCACAGGGACACACATAAAACGTGGGAGGGAGCACAGAGGCACCACAGGCTAGAGGGGCAGGCCATGGATCCAACAGGGACGTGGAAGGGTCTTGCCTTCCCACACAAGACCCACCCTACATGTGCACGAGTGTACATGCGGCACTGCTCACAGCCCGGACACCGGGTGTTCTGCACAGCACAGGAGAGGACGCAGCCAGGACGGGAGAGACGCTGGGACACGTGCCTCAGGAACGAGCACCGAGAAGGCGAGGCCAGCACACCCACACTGGGCCAGGGGCCACGCAGACACCCAGGGCAGGCGGACCCAGGGGTAAAGGGACTGCCCAGCTGGATGGGGGACCAGGAGGAACTGCTAATGGGTGACGAGTTTCTTTGCTGGAGTGATGGAAAACATCTAAATTCAACATGGCGACAGTTATACCATGCTGTAAATACAGTAAAATCTGTGCCAACTCATAACCCTGTGTGGGTGAATCACGTAACTCAAGGTATCATCTTAACAATCTGTTATAACAGGAAAAGAAACCAACAAGGAGAAGACGAGCACAAGCAGAACTCGGGGTCTGACCAACAGGCAGTCCTGAGGGCCCTGTCGCTGCAGGGGAAGGTTCTCCTGGGTGCCACCAGGGCTCCTCATCCACAGCAAAGGCCACTTAGAATGGGCTCTGGCCAGGGTGAGGCCCGACCTGTGTCCCCACTGGCAAGCCCCAGGGACTCATGAAGGTGCGCTGACACCGGACATACTGCCCAGTAGCCTCCAGGTCTGCCCTGGGCCCTTTGCTGGGCCCTGGTGCCAAGGCAGACATGACCTGAGACCCAGGACCCCTGCAGTCCCAGTGAGGATGGGGCTCTGGGCAGGGCTGGCGCTCTCTGAAAGACAGGTGGGGCCGACCAGGAAGAGGGGGGCGGGGGCCTGCCAAGCCCCAAGCACCTAGAGGCAGGAAGGATGCAGGGCCTGCAGACCCTGGTCGGTCCCAACCCTCGAGGGGTCCTGTGTCAACTACTCAGTTTGTAAAGAGAAACTGAGTGGGCATGGACACGCTGGTCCCCAGCTCCCCACCCAGCACATCTCCTGCAGTGACACGGGGGCACGAGGTGGCACTCACATTGTCGTCCTTCGACGGGTGGATCTGCTCAATCAGCCGCTGCACAATCTTCTCCTCGTTGAGCCACTGAGGGTGAGAAAGGGGGCTCCTTCAGGGCCCTGGCCGCCTGCTTCCCGCCACCCCTACCCCAGATGGCCCCTCACGTTGACAACGTCCTGCCGTAGCTGGGGCCGCTCCACGCAGGTGAGCAGGCGCAGCAGGAGGTCCATGACGGCCGAGGTGCCGATGTGCTGCAGCAGCAGGTCCACAAAGTCCTCCTTCTTCCGCAGGAAGGACACCAGCTGGGGCACAGGGGCCACGTCACTGCGGGCAGGCCGCACCCCCTTCCCCCCAGCAAGCGCACTGGGCGCCGAGGCAGGGCGGCACCTGGTCGGTCTTGCGGTTGATGAGGATGCCCATGACCTTGCTGAAGAAGCTGGCCAGCAGCGGGGTGAGGGCGGGC